CGTAATCATCGACGCGGCCCGCTCCTTCGCCTCGCTGCCCTTGGAGACGCAGCCGGCGAGGAAGTTGGCGACGCCCTCCTCGGACTGGCCCCGCGGAACGGACGCCGCGCCAGCGAGGCTGTGGAGCCATACCTTCGCCGCGTAGGACAGGGCGCCCGGCGCGGTCGTCGGCGGCGGCGCCGCCGGCGGGAAGACCGTCCAAACTAGACTCCACGGCTTCCGCGAGGACCCTGCCCGGGGCCCTGGGCTGCCCCCCGTCTTTGGCCCGGCGTGTCTCAACCAGGAAATTTGAGCGCTCGGGGCCCCTCTTGGCTTGGATGCGCCTGGAACGCTCGAGCCCCCTCGACTTCGCCGCCTCGTCGCTCCAGTGGGACGTCTGGCCGCGAGGCCGAGGCCGAGTGCGGCGACCGTCGTGGCCATCGCGAGCGCTCGCAGCGCGGCAGCCCCATCCGCGGCGATCATCGAGGCCATCCCACTCGCGACGGTTGCTGCGTCCATCGCCGCCGTCTCTGGGACGCCCCTGGCCGCTGCCATGACCCTTGCCGCCCTTGCCGAAGTTGCTGCCTCGCAGCGGAGACCCTGTCGCCTGGCGAAAGGTCGAGTGCTTCAGCAGGCGGGGCCGCAATCTGAAATAGCAGCGGACCTTTGAACCTCCAGACTCCACGGACAACTACGAATGAGAGCACGCAGGAGGGGTGGCGGGTAGCCGAGAAGGAACATCTCGATGGGGGGGCTCGAGCAGCCAATGCGGATCCACACGTGCCGACAAGCCTCATAGAGCGAGCGCGTGAGAATCGACTGACAACGAGACCATGGAGACCAGCAGCGCCACCAAGTAAGGCGACAACATAAGGTGGAACCGTCGCTCTCTTTCGTTTCTTGGCATGGTCGTAGAGCCACGATTGTCGTGTTTTGATCACCGCCAAGCCGACCGCAACCACTTCTAAATCCAACCAAATAGCTGAGGCGATTGAGGAAGCCGATGTCGTTGAGAGTTTTACGTCGTATGTGGCGTGTATGCAGTGTGCCGCGCATGCCCTGCAATGCGATGCACTCAAACCTAGAATGTCATCAACGCGCCGACAGAGCGCGATATGTAGGATCCATGAGTCCGTAGTTGTGGAACGCCTTCCTGGACGCAGCGGGATAGATCACCAATTGCACGAAACTCCTGTGAACACAGCATCACATTGAGAGCCACCCCAGGTAGTGCACTACACATTGGGAGGCCCTTTAGCTCGAAGATGACCCCGAACGCACGAATAAGGGACACCCAGACATCGACCGACATGGCCAGGAATACATCCGACATCGTTATGCGAAAGGCGCCTGCTGGTACAGCCCACGCGGGGATGGCCAGGGATTTCACCGACGAGAGGGCCCTCGAGCGTCGTCCGTTCCTTGCAAGGCGGGCCTCAAAAGGTGCCGCCGACTGGGTTGAATGTTTCAGGGGAGGCCAAGCGGGTGCAATGGCTGCCGCACTACATGAGACAACCCTTACGTCCGAGACTGCGCGGCCACGCCGACGACAATAATGCAGTGGGGGAGGCTCGCGCGAAAGGAACGAACATCACCAGCTGCCAACCTGGCGTCGGAACATTCACAACCAATGTTCGACCACTTCAGAAACTCCGAGCAGCACGTCCAATGTTGCGAAGCCCATGCGTGCCCAGGGGGGCCCGAGGTGTCGACCACGCGCCTGCGACAGCTGTGGGCAATGCTCCTGCAAAGCCTCGCCTTGCACTGAAATTATCCCAGTGCGACCCTGCCTAGGAGTTGGAGCCTCTAGGAAAGCAACATTATTAGGAGCGGTAAACGCCGTAGCAGCAATAGTGGATGCTGTGTTGCGCTATGCTATGCTATGCTATGATATGCTATGCTATGCTATGCTATGCTGTGCTATGCTATGCTATGCTATGCTATGCTATGCTGCGCAATGCTATGCTGGGCTAGGCTAGGCTAGGCTCTGCTATGCTATGCTATGCTGCGCGGTGCTATGCTGTGCTGTGATGTGCTGCGCTATGCTATGCTATGCTATGCGATGCTGCGCTATGCTGTGCTATGCTGGGCTTTGCTCTGATATGCTGTGCTGCGCTGTGCTGTGCTACGCTCTGCTATGCTATGCTGTGCTCTGCTATGCTAAAGCTCAGCGAAGCTAAGATGAAGGTAAGCTAAGCTAAGATAAACTGAGCTAAGATGAAGCTAAGCTAAGCGACTATGAAATAAGCTACGATAAGATGAGATAAACAACGCCAAGCTAAGGGGACGTAACTGGGGGAACCGCGGGGCGGATACTGGGGGAACCGCCCAGGGCGAGTTGCACTGCCCGGCCCTTTAAGCATACCGAGTAAGAACCCTTCTAGGCAGAGCCTAGGTAGGGGAAAAAGGAACTTGGACTTCGCAAGCGGGAATGCGATCGGAGGGCGAGACGGGGCATGGGGGTGCGGGGGCAAAGATGGACCACGGAACCACGCAGGAAGGGCTGAAAGCGCTCTCTCCC